CATTAAAAAGTGACGTTTCCTGCCAAGAACCAGTGGGTGGACGGTAGAGTGGCTCCACTCACTGTCACCCACAGCGACCCATTGTGGGGAATCTGTCTTCCCAGTCCCTACAATTTAGCTTCTGTGGATTAAATGGTACTGATTCCACAGGAGACATAGTAAGTCTCACTAAATTTAAAGCTATGACAGCTGCCTGGTCATTTTAAGCCCACTGTGCAAGTATACTAGCAATCAAAAAAGGAGTTATGATACTTGCAAGGGTAATTGACCCTGATCTTCAGGAGGGAATAAGACTGCTCATACATAGCGGGGGCCGGGAGGCTGGTACTCAGGCACAGGAGCATTTCTTGTTTCTTCCACGACCAACTTTAACTATAAATGGGCAACGAGAGCAATCATAGCCTGATGAGGCACAGTAACCAGGGCTCAGAACTGTCAGGGATGAGGGTCTGGGTCATGCTAGGAGGGAATCCATCTAGACCAACCGAGGTGATTGAAAGTGAAGGGAAAGGAGAAGGGAATCTAGGATGGGTGGTAGAGGAGAGAGAGGGTGAGCATCACTTGCAGCCATGGGGCGGGCTGCAGTGGCAGGGGCAATCCTTCTGACTATCAGAATCCCGGAAATCCTAGGCTGTGATGAGTGAATGAATCTGAGTGGTTTGAGTGATAGACTATAGTAGACACAGTTGGTGGCCTGCCCCCTAGCAGCTCAGCCTTGGCTGCTAACAGCTCACACGCATACATCTTAAGATGTAGGTCTAATGCCCTGACCCTGACGGCTTCTCTTTTGAGAGGAAGGGAGCAAAAGAGTAGGTTTATGAGCAGAACAAAGTGACTACTGGATACTACACAGTCTAAGCTTAGATGCCAGCTAGTAACTGTAGCTCCTGATAAAGCCAGCTGGCCTCCTGAGACCCTCAGAACCCATGAAAGTTGCGTCTTCTCCTGCAGGAAATGGATGTCACCAGTCCCCTGGGAAATTAAATCTATGCAGGCAGGCTCTCCCCTGGATATTGCCACGTAGAACACAGAGAACTCCTTGAGTAATTTTCAGATAATTGTGTTTCACTCCAAGCACCCAATATCCCCTATCTCATTAAATCCTCTAAAAAACTCTATGAGTTAGGTAGTATTATGTTCTATTTTACAGATAGAAAAACACAGACTCAGAGACGGTTAAAGAACTTGCCTAAGGGCGCCTGGGTGGCTCAGTTGGTTAAGCGACTGCCTTCGGCTCAGGTCATGATCCTGGAGTCCTGGGATCGAGTCCTGCATCGGGCTTCCCGCTCCGCGGGGCGTCTGCTTCTCCCTCTGATCCTCTTCCCTCTCGTGCTATCTCTCATTCTCTCTCTCTCAAATAAATAAATAAAAATCTTAAAAAAAAAAAAAAGAACTTGCCTAAGGTGACATAGCTAACATATATTAGAACCAATACACAAACCCAGGACTTCCTCACTTTTGACTCTCTGCCCTTCCCCCACGATGGAAAATCGCCGAGCACAGGCCTGGAAATGCAGCCCGGGCTCTGCCCTGCAGCTCTGATCCTAAACATCAGCATAAGCAGTGGTAAGTCATTTTGCTTCTCTGGACCTTAGTTTCCTCCTCTTGGGCTGCCTGTCACCCCTGCATCTTCTGAAGACCCGAGAGAATAATGTCAATAAAAGCTGTCCCATTGGCTCTAAGTTCTGGAGCCCATGAGGGCTGTTCACAAAGCTGTTCTCATTATCAGCAAATCCCAGACACAAGTCCCCTCCCAATACATGCTCTAGGAGGGGCCAAGAAGTCAATCCTGGGTGATTGGAGGGCACAGTGCTCCAAAGGAGCCCCATCTTGAGGGAGAGAACCCCAGCAGGCCCGGCTGAAGAGGCGTTGGAGGGCTTAACAAGCCACAGCTCAGCACTTGCCTGGTGCTTCCCTGCCAGGCCAGGTTGGAAGACACAAATGAGACACCACAGAAGATACCAAGGCGGCAGGGTTTGACAGGTGAGGGGGTGGGGCAAGGGGGTAGTGCCAAAGCTCAGCAAAGACCAAAGTGGAGAGACCGGGGCAAGGATATGGTGGGAAGGATCTAGAACCGGGGCTGGAGATCAGGAAGACAGACTGGGCGCACAAGATGCAGGCAACCAGGATTCAGGTTGGCCGTGTATACACGGGCTGTGGGATCTTAGACCACATATCCTGGCAGATCTGGACAAGGTGTACCTCTGGGTGGGATTCAGATCATCTTGGCCAAGCCCTTCCCCCAGCAAAGCAAGGCTTTGTCACTGGCAGACACACTAGCAAGCTCTGAGTCCTGTGTGTTCCAGGCTCGCGTGTAAGCGTTGTCTAAGCTAAGCGTTACATCTCTCCGTAAGGATCACAACAACCCAGGAGGTCACAGATGACAGAAATGAGCCCCAGGAGGGGGAAGTGACTTGCCCAAGGTCACACCGCTGAAAGTAGGAGCTGGGATTGGAATCAGGGCCTTTCTGACTCACAAGCCACACACTTGACCGCTAAGGCCCACGTGATAAGATGAAGGGAGAGAATGTGGCTGGCAGCAGGGGCTCACTAGGCCGGACAGTCCTCACCCTCTCCCTTTGGGTGTGGACCATTGTGACATCCGATCTGTCAACCACAGAGGGGACCCTCAGAAAAGAGCTCATTGAATTGGACACCCCTCAGAGATCTTTTCTTCCAAAGCCTTCACCGCCCAGATGAGAAAACCAAGGCTCAGGGACCCAAAGTCCCAGCAGGCGAGTGGCAGAGCTGGTCCAGGAGCCAGCACTCTTGGTTGCTAGGCGGGGCTCAGGCCTTCGCAGGAGCCTGGCTCCAGAACACCTTCTGCTCTCCCCGTCACCGGCCGTGGCCTTGGACGGACCCTCAGATTCTCGCTGCCTGAAGGGCATAAGCACTCCCTGGCAGGCTTGGATGATGAGAGTGGGTGATGGATATGAAGTATGGCTTCAGGTTGTACATTCAGGGACCGGTTCTTCTGTCTGGTTGTGTAACTGGCTGGTGGACAATCCAGACAGGGAGCACCCTTGCCGGTTATGGTGGCACGTTCTGTGCCCTGGGAAACAGCACCCTTCAGGCCCGAAGCACAGGACTGCATCATTCACATGTACTAGGTAATTCAGAGTAAAACAAGAGCCCTAACCTGTAAATTAAGTGTAAGAAGATCCAGCCAAACTCGGATATTTCCTAGGATGGGCCAGTTGGACGATGCTTTGAAATACCAAATGTGAAATTCTTTCAGAAACTATCTCTAGTGCCCCTGCTTCGCCAGTGAGCCAGCACCAGTGTGGTGTGCCTGTTGGATAGTTGGATAGTCCAGAGCTGGCAGTGAGAAGCCATGTGCACCTGTCCACCCAGGTCGTAGCATCTGTACTTCCATCTGCAAAGCCGCGGAGCAGAGGAGGGAAGAGAAAACAGCTGGATTCGGTGGCCTCTGGCCTTGACCCTCTGTGTTTCTGCCTCTCAGATAGATGTCTTACTCTGCCTCTCCCGGGTGAGGGTGTCAGAAAAAAATGGCGACTGGATTTGTCAGATGGCATTTTGATCAACTGAGGTTTAACCCTTTAAAATGGAGACAGTGAGATTCACCCTCTTGCCCTGGTCATGGGGGTAATCCGTGAGGTTCTCTCTTTCACGGGGCACACACATAGAAGAGTTGTCTCTCCCATGCTCATTTTAGACAAAGTATTTGCCAGTCACCATTTCCAAATCAAGAAGCCAGGCAGCATAATCCAAATTGATCACAGAGCTAACCAGGAAGAATGTAAAAGGTGGTAGGGAAGAGTTGGGGAGGGCAATCGGATGGGAACTAGAGATTTAAAAAGCCTTTTTTCCAGTCTGACATTCTATGACTCTAGGACTTGAGAGCTGTTTTCAATTTGTTTTGCATTTGTTTTCGAAAAACAAGAAGGTAAACGTAGTTCCAAGGAATTCAAAAGGAAACTGTGGAATCCCTGGGGTAGAACAGCAGTGATGCAGATGTAAGCATGAAGCTGCCTGAACGGCTCAGCAGAGGCTCATCTGGAGGGAGGGATGAGCCAGTACTGCCTGTGTAGTCTCAGGGTTGACCCCAGCACACACTGAGTGAACAACATCTGACACTGTTCTTTTGTCTTTGGGCAGCCACGGGCATTCAGTTCTCCCGATCCTTTCTAGCAGCAATGGCTCTCATGATAGTCCCTGGGGCTTCTTCTAAATTGGTATTAGAGGAGCCCATGGCAATGTGGGCATTAAAGAACCAAACAGAACATACGCTGGGCTGCAGCTGTCGGAAGGAAGGAAGATAACAGACCCATGATGTGCCCTGGATGGTGGGAGATCCACCCTCTGCTTGGGCTCCATCGGGAAGAGAGTCCCACAGAAGACGCTTGCTCTTCCCAACACTGGGAGGGCAGCCAGAGAATGTAGGAGAGGCACGCAGAGCTGCTGCACCCGGGACAAGAGAGAGGAGCCATTTCCTGGGTAATGAGTAGAATGAGCAGGCAACATGTTGCAGAAAACTTGCGGAAAAATCAGCCTTTCCTAGTGATGTGCTGATAGTGGTATCACTTAGCAGAACTTTAAGCAAGAGCAAACGAAAATACAATAGCATAAGGAGCTCATCGGATTTATGACGTCCAAAAGAAAGTGTGGGACATGGAGTAGAAAAATGACAGAAGCTCTTTCGATGTACTTATCACAGTTGTAACCAGATAATTAACTGTGTGATTGTCTTTTAAATACACCATCCTGCTGCTAGAACTTAGTAAGCCCTGTGAAGACAGGATGCTTTGTTCACTTTTTCACAGCCTTGCACATTGTAGGTAGGTACCTACTAAATGCTTGATGGAAGATGGAAGGAGTGAATTGTGGGTTAAGATGGAAGAAGCAGTATTGGAGGGTACCACCAGTCCTCTAAACTTGGTCATAAATCATTTAGGTTGCAATAATTGTACAGTGAACTATACAGATTTCTCATTCCAAACTCCTGGTTTCCGGATGCTCTGGTTGCCTGTCACCCTAGCATGCAGCTCTATCTCACCGTGGATGCCACAGCCTGTAATGGATCAAAAGACTTTCCACCGATCTTCTACCTGGTGGGCATCCCCTCTCTACAGGAGTTCTTCTTCCTTCCCATCTTTTTCATCTTCCTGTTCTACCTGCTCATCCTGGTGGGGAACACCCTGATTTTGGTGGCTGTGGTGAGAGAACCCGGACTCTACAAGCGCATGTACTGTGCAAGTGCATGTACTGCGCTTGTAGAGATTGATCAGTCTCTCAGCCCTGGGCATCCTCTTCACCTGACCACCATCCCCAAGATGCTGTTCCTCCTCTTGCTTGGGGACCGCTTCCTCCGCTTCCCCGCCTGCTTCCTGCAGAGGCACCTCCTCCACAGCTTCTCCTGCTCAGAAGCCTTCATCCTGGTGGCCATGGCCTATGACCGCTATGTGGCTATCTGCCGCCCCCTGCGCTACCCTGTCCTCATGACCCCGCACACCAGTGCCGCCCTGGCAGCCTGTGCCTGGCTCACTGCCCTCCTCCTGCCCATCCCCGCAGTGGTGCAGACTTCCCACTTGGCCTTTGACAACACTGCTCACATCTCTCACTGCTTCTGTGACCACTTGGCTGTGGTCCAGGCCTCCTGCTCTGACAACACGCCCCAGACCTTCATGGGCTTCTGCATCACCATGGTGGTATCCTTCCTGCCCCTTCTCCTGGTGCTTCTCTCCTATGCCCACATCCTGGCTTCAGTGCTTCGCATCAGCTCCCGAGAAGGACGCTCGAGAGCCTTCTCCACCTGCGGCTCCCACCTCCTGGTGTTTGGCATCTACTATTCATCCATTGCCACAGCCTATGTGGCCCATAGGGCTGACCTGCCCCTCGACTTTCACATCATGGGCAATGTGGTGTATGCTATCCTCACCCCTGTCCTCAACCCTCTCATCTACACGCTGAGGAACAAGGATGTCAAAGCAGCCATCACCAGTAAGGCATGTCCCTGGGACTCAGGGCATTCTGAGGACCCCTGATCCTTAGATGTTGCTAATGCTGCTTCCAGGATACCAGTGTGCTAAAAACAGAGAATGTCATCAAAAAAGTTTCTTGAAGGGAAGAATGACCTAAAGTAGGGCCCAAAATATACCATTGAGACTTCCATTTCCCTTAATGATAGACTAGGTTATAAAATCAACCCTTCTGTGGAAAGGAAAATGTCAGATAAAATAGAAAGATTATCTGCTTAAAAGTGTCAAAATTAGTGCCTTCTTAGCTCAGTGGGCAGTGTGTCAGTCTCATAGAAGTATCAAATAGAATTTTTAACATAAGACTAAAATAGTAATAAAGATGAGAACACAGAAAGGTTAGTTATTAAGACATGAATAGACATATAGATCAATGGAATAGGAGAGCCGAGAATCAGACCCTTAAATATATGAACAATTGATATATGAAGGAAATGACATTGCAGATCAGTGTAAAGATGGAAATATAATAAATGGTATTGGTGGGCGCCTGGGTGGCTCAGTTGGTTAAGCGACTGCCTTCGGCTCAGGTCATGATCCTGGAGTCCCAGGATCGAGTCCCACATCGGGCTCTCTGCTCGGCAGGGAGTCTGCTTCTCCCTCTGACCCTCTTCCCTCTCGTGCTCTCTATCTCTCATTCTCTCTCTCTCAGATAAATAAATAAAATCTTAAAATAAATAAATAAATAAATAAATGGTATTGGTACTATCAGGTATCCATATGTCAACAAATGAAATTTGTCTCTTAGCTTAAGCAAACACAAAAAAAGCAATCTCATTAAATACCTAAATATGAAAGGCAAAACTATAAAACTATATAGGAGACTACAGTCCTCATCTTGGGATGGGGAGATATTTCTGAAGCAAGATTTTTTAAAAGCTCTATGCCTAGAAAAAACAAAGGATAAATTTGACTGCTTTAAAATGTAAAATTTCTGTTCATCGAAAGACACCAGGAAGAGAGTGGAATGCTAAGCTACAGAACAGATGTTCATCGAAAGACACCAGGAAGAGAGTGGAATGCTAAGCTACAGAACAGAAAATTATTTGCAATGCATATAACCAACTAAAGGACTCAGGATTCATCCAGAATATATAGAGAATTACTTTAGGTCAATTTTTTAAAATAGTCAAGTCATTAGAAAAATTAGCAAAATACTTCACAAGCAAATGTTCAATAAATCTAAGAAAACATGCTCAACCTAGTAGTAACAGGAGAGGTGCAAGTTACAACAATGAATACTTACCACTAGAAACACATCAAACTGGCTAAAATGTCAAAGTCTGCCAATACCCAAGTTGGCGAGCATGCAGGTTGATGGAGCACTCATATACTGATAGTGGGAGTGTTTATTGGCATAACCACTTTGGAAAACGCTTTATCACTATCTTATAATGTTGAATATACACATACTGTATTATCTGGCATAGCTGCATTTCTCTAACTTGTAAAATGTTCATAAGATGTAGCACTGTATGCCGATAAAATATGAAGGAAGTACATATACACACAACATGAGTAATCTCACATGAATAGATGAAAGACTCTAGTGTTGAGTGGAAGAATCTAGTGTTGAGCAAAAGAATCATGACTCAAAAGGATATATATAATCTGATTCCAGTTATATAAAGTTTAAAGACAGGCAAAGCTAAACTACATTTTTTATCAATGCATACAGATGTCATACACTGTGAAGAAAAGGGAAGACATATTTATTATTAAAATGGAAAATCAGGGTTATTTCTGTAAGAAAGGGAGAGGGTTGTGAATTAGAGAGGGGCACCAAGGGCTTTATGAGGAGTTGTCAGTTTCATTCTCCCCTGAATGATGGTGACACGGTATTCATTTTACAATTAAACCGTATATACAGACTTTATACAGTTTGACTCCATGTGAATACTCTATTTTATAATAAACTCTTACAAGGCATCATTCCATCAGGCAGAGGCTGCAATGGTAGTTCTCAATATGCGGTCCAAGTCTTTCCATGGGTAGGATGTCTTGTGGTGGTTTTCATATTCAGAATAAGCATTGAGGTGCTGAATATAATTTTCTCTGTTTTTCCATTCACCTAAGAAGACTTTAATTAGCCTTTGGGAGGTGCTAGACCATGTGGTAGAAGCTAGAGGCGCAGAGAGAGAGATTGGGACAGTCGCTGCCCTCAATTTTCTTACAGTCTAGTGAGGAAGATGGACTCGGGCAGAAACAACACAGTGTGGTAGGTGCCATATCAGAGGGAAGCACAGGGGATGGGGGGAGCATAGAGGTTGGTATTTAATCCAAGACAAAAATGTCTCCCATAAATATTTTTAACCTGTGGCACCTGCTACTGCTTGTTTGGGAGTCCTCATGGAGTTAACGGCATGGCAGATGTGGACTGATTGAACAGAAGCCCCAAGCTGCTCCCGTCAGAGAAAGAGAGGTTTCATTCTAGAGCTGACCAGAATGTGGGATGGCATCCCTGTTGCTACCTGTCATGGGGTGTGATTTTTAGCTTGGACAAGAAGTGGAGTTTATGCTCAAGCAAACCCAGAAGACTGCCACTCATTCTTCAGGAAGGCTGCATGTCAAAAAAGGGTCTGGTGTGGGCAGAACTACAACGCACCCCAAAAAGGCAGGAAGGAAAACCACTCTCAGAAAAGTGAATGGCGCAGGCAGTGACATTCTTGTGGCATATGTTAAAGGAAAGAAAATCTTTCTTAGCAAACTGTAATAAAGATGCAGCATGCGATGGGACTTTAAGCAAGGGCATTAGCGGAGAGTGAGAATTTCAGCAAATAGCAATGAACATCTTTTAAAGTCACAATGATAACAATTTTAAGTCAAAATTATGAAACAAAGCATTTTTAGTGAATTCTCATCTCCATTTCTGCTCCCTCCACCTGTTGCATGCCCTTTACAAAAACTGTTTTTATTCATTTTTTTGGTTTTTCTTTCCAATATAAGCAAGCCCATATACTTACACACATATGTATAACATATAATTATGGCTATATTATATCTTTCTTAGAGAAATAGTAGCATACTATAAGACTGTTCTGTTCCTTGATTTTGAAAATTCAATCAGCAGTTGATAGAGATTGTTTTCATTTGAGCAAAAAAAAAAAAAGTGGTGGTGGGAGAGGGAGGGGGGCATCGCTGGAGTGACCAGCTTTACGTAGGAGCACGAAGAATTCTTCCATAGGAATAGGTGGGAAGACAGAATGAATGCAGGCACAGATGCTTGCAGGTGGGTGGGTGTGGGATGGGACTCTGTGCACTCCTCTCCTGATTGGCTGGAGTGACAACAGGAAGAGATATTGGTAGATTGAGGAGGGGAAAAGTCATCTGGAAGAGGAGATGAGGCAACAAACCAGAGCCGTATATGGGATGACTGCCTGCCAGAATTAAGGTCTGTGGAGTGCTCGTATGTTAAGTTCAGATAAGGTACACCTACATCAGGAAAATACTTTCTTAAAATCCATCTCACTTCTCCCTAAGGGTGCAGGGCTCATCTTGAGTCAGGGTATGTGGGACTGATGTCCCAGTGTTACTGATTCTTCCCAGTGGAGATTTCTTTTTTTAACCAAGCATTAGGATAATTGCATAAGCCAACTAGTTTTCAGGCAGCAATGATCTGATTTTTTTTTTTTAATCTGCTCATTTATCTGTCCTCACAAGTGGCTACCTATGCTTCTTGTCAAGAAAATAAAATCTGTCTGCTAAATGACGTAAGGTCATTTATATATCAAGAACATATATCATGAACCTACTATGTGGTGTATTTTATATCTCAATGTTACTGGGAGAGGAAGGAAGAAGAAACACTAAAAAAATGATTTCTAAAATGTCAAAAGCTACTTTAAAACCCTTCTAAACTCAGTTACAATGTTGAGCTCTAAAGCTGGTTCCACTTATCATTTACACATAGTGAAAATACTTACGTAGTCATGAGATTATGATTCCATTACAAGGACGATATTTATGGTAATACCATTTCCTCTGCATTAATTTCTTATATTTTTTTTTTAAAAAGATTTTATTGACAGAGAGAGAGAGAATGAGCACAAACAGGGGAGCAGCGGAGGGAGAGGGAGAAGCAGGCTCCCCGCTGAGCAGAGAGCCCAATGCAGGGCTCAATCCTAGGACCCTGAGATCATGCAGACGCTTAACCGACTGAGCCACCCAGGCAACCCAATCTTATATTCTTCTTTTTTTTGAAAGATTTTATTTATTTATTTGAGAGAGAGAGAATGAGAGATAGAGAGCACGAGAGGGAAGAAGGTCAGAGGGAGAAGCAGACTCCCTGCTGAGCAGGAAGCCCAATGTGGGACTCGATCCCGGGACTCCAGGATCATGACCTGACAGTCGCTTAACCAACTGAGCCACCCAGGCGCCCCCAATCTTATATTCTTGATGCTAAGTAAAATGCTTATAGTATGCTAAATTCTTATTTTGTGCTTTCTGTTTATATTTCAAACAGCGTGGTTTACTTTAATTTCTTTTATCCTCCTCTTATGTATTCTCCAAATATATTCCCAGAATCATCCACACAACCTTGTCTTAGTTCTACCTTTGAAGCCACCATTATTACTAAACTAGATATTTTGGTTCCAAGCCATATGTATTTTAAATAACCTGCCCATTTTTCTATTCTACACATCTTTAAAGTAATAAAAACTCTATCACTGAATGTTGCTTCCTCAAATATGTGGAAATTAAATAGCACACCTCTAAAAACCAATGGGTCAAAAAAGAAATCACAAGGAAAATCAGAAAATATCTTGTAGAAACATCCAAAATCACAGGATGCAGCTAAAACAAGTGCTTCAAGGGAATGTAGAACTGTAAATGCTTATATGAAAAAAAGAAGAAAAGTCTCAAATTAATCATCTAATGTTATTAGATGATTAATTTATTTATTAATACTCTAATTTTTACTTTAAGAAATTATACTTTTATAATTTTTCTTTAAAAGCAAACTTGGGGCACGTGGGTGGCTCAGCCATTAAGCCTCCGCCTTCAGCCCA